TAAACAAGACAAAAAAGCGTAAAATGGTGAGTGCCAGCGGCACGGCAGGCACATAGGCCCGGACATGGTCACATCCTGCAGCCACCCAGAGAGCAGAGAGCGGAGAGCGCACAGGCACGCCCAGAAGCAAGCCTGTGGGCTTTCCCTGAGCCAGCTCTGCAGGGCAGGCAGCCTTCTGCTCTGTTTACCCTGGCTTCTGAAGTTACACCTCAAGGGGTTGCTAGGGAGCCTGTCGTTCTCATTAAAAGAGATGGTGGGGTGGGTTCCAGACTGGGTTGCATTACAGCTGATAAGGTAAGAAGTCCAGGTCACTTGGGGTGCAGGGGGGCGTTAACACGTCTCCACTGTAAACAAAGCCACGTTGGCGAGATCCCCAGGAAATACCTGGGGAAGGGCCAAGGCCATCCTTGTAGGTCATGCAGGCTCGGGCCTGGTTCATTGTTACTTATGAAATAAAAGAGAAACAATTTGCTCATCTGAAATTACCTCTGCATAAAAGGAATGCTGTCTTTGCCCAAATTGTCCCTTCAGGGCCACGTTCCTTGTGACACACTTGTGATGTCCCACCCTCGGCAGATGAGGAGCTCAGGCTCCCCCTGCCTAGTCTCCTTGGTTTTCTCTGCCTTTCCATTTTGCTTGAGTGTATGTGTGTGTGTGTGTGGGTGTATACGGGTGTGTGGTTGGGTGTGGGCTGTATGTATGTGCATGTGTGTGTGTGTGTGTGTGTGAGTGTGTGTGTCTGTGTGTGTGTTTTGGGGGAGTAGACTGAAGAGGTGGCCGCTGAGTTGGAGACACCCGGATTAGAGACTGTTGCTATAGAAATGTAAAATAAGGAAGATTTTTGTAGATGAACAGAAGAGAGAGCCATGGAAGTCTTCCATCGAGACAGAGGGTAAAATACGGACGCTTAACAAAAAGATACATGAGTGTAAATAATTAAAAAGTGACAGAAAAGGCTAGACAACTACGAAGATGCCCTTAGTACGTCTTCTTCAATGAGATGATAGTGCCCTCACCCCTTAGATTGCCGTTTGTGACAGTGTCCACAGGCACCGGGGAAGACGGCGGGGCCCAGCGGTTCAGACTGGCCACAGGGTCCCTCCGAGACAGGATTTCTGAGCCTAAATTCCTCTCTGCCAGAATCCACCCTGCCTCTTCCAGAGGGTTAGAATCTACCTTTCCAGGTGTGGGGCCTGCTGTGATGTAGGCCAGAAGGGTGTGGCAGACCTTCCCATGTGGGCACCTTTGTGTGCCACCAGCCACTGGCTTCCTTCCACGGCTGACTTGTACCCGCCATGCAGCTCACCCCTGGGAAAATGTCTGTGTCTCAGTGCCAGGTTCCCTGGCCATGTCTCACCCCTACCCCCACTTCCGTCGTCTACTCGGTTGTTTGCTCTTCGGTAGCCTGGGCTGCTGCGAACGCTTCACTGGTGGGGACAGTTGCCTCTGATTAGCAGCGGCCTCGGCCCTGGTGGCGGCAGCTGGATCTGCTGGTGGGATAAGTTCTGTGGCATGCAGCAAATGCAGGTGGCAAGGCAGGGGTTAGCAGGAGTCAGTCGGTCCTGCGGTGCAGCGGCCCAGGCCTCTGTCTGTCTGTCTATGTGGCTAAGAAACTAAGAACTTTACTTCGTTGTAATTATGACCCTGTCCATTTATGCGACTGTTTGGTACTTTAGCTTGTTCAGTGTTAATAAATACATACCATATAAAACAAGTAACATATAACAGCTCCTTGTCTAAAGGGAATCAGAGAGAGTTTGTTCTGAGCCAAATACAACCAGCCAAGGTTAGAAATGGCAATCCTGGGTATGCTCAGTGACTTGTGTTGCTATGGGACAGGTTACATGTACTTTTGTCGTCACAGAACAAAGGTATGGCATAATGGTACACCCCTGAGATCCCAGCACTTGGGAGGCAGAGGCAGGAGGATCTGGAGTTCAAGACCAGTATCAACTACAGAGTGAGTTTGAGGCCAGTGCTGACACATGAGACCCTGTCTCAAAAACAAGAGAAAACAAAATATAAGTGAGTGATGAGACAATGCATTTACCAAATATGTTGTGGTTGGTAGTGACATCAGATGGACAGGCTACATCAAAGTGAGAAATCTCTGTCGCTGTTTTCAAACGCTATCTTACAACATGCTTAGCTCTGCGCCTGCCGGAAGTCTGTGGCCCGCCAAGAATACATTCTGAAGGTTTTATCACAGAGAAAAGTCCACCGAGTCCATTCAGATTATAATTAAGCGAATGTATTCATTACCGCTGGCAGGAGTACAGCCACACCGTAGGCTTGGCGTGCAGAAGAGGCTAGAGGAAGGGATTTTAAAGGCAGGCGCCATAATTAAAGAGAGAGGCCGCTTCCCTTTCCTCGACTGGCGAGGAGCCGTCACTCACATTCCGTTACATTCTGAGTGGGTTTGCACAGGTGGTAAGGGACACGGTCATTTTTACCATCGTGGGGAGGGGGCAGGGAGTCAAGGTTGCCAGGAACTTACCTTTTAGGAATTTAGAATGGGGGCCTGGCTCAAAAAGGAGTATTCTTTAACTGTCACAAAATGGTCTGAGTTGGGCCAGCTATGGAGGCCAGTAATAAATGGCCATTAAGGGGACTGAAATCAGCCCAAGCCATTTTGGCTCTGAACCTACGATATTCCATCTTTTTATAATCGAGAAGTTCTGGTTGGCCAATCAGCCTGCAGAATCTTTACTAAAAACATGGCTTCTTGGGAGAATTTAAATTTATGTATCTATAGCCAATCACATATATTATGAAACTGTAGATACAGCTTAATTTCTACACCATAATATGTAAACCCATATGTACAGCCACCTGCTTTGGGAAACACAGTTTCGTGCTCTCTCCTAGAGCCCCAGACAATTGAGGGAAGATTTACTTTGTTCATGGTCTGAAGAGACCTTTTCCATCTTTGTTCAGACCAGGCCCCGACCTCCTAGGATGGTACCACCCACATTCAGCATGGGCCTTCCTTGCTCAGCTAAGCCACTATGGAAACAGCCTCATATAAATACACAGAGCTGAATTTCCTAGGTGATCCTAACGACGCCATTCAGGTTAACAGTGAGAAGTAACCACCCTAATCGCCGGGCCTCGGGATCACATGCACATTGGACAGACTGGAGCCATGCGTGTTAAAGTTGAAATGCATGCCTGGGGCAGACTTTGAAACAGCCCACATCAACCACAGCTCCTAGGCTCTGATCTGTAGGGTTTGCCAGAGCTAAGGAAGTTTTCAGTGACCTCACAGTTTGGCCATCAAGCCAATTAACTCTGCTTTCCCCCAACAAAGCGTTCCCAGGTGTGGGAGTCCCTTTGCACGACCAGGACATGCTTGTAGAGTGTGATGACATTAACAGAAATGGGTTTGGCTCCAGCCACCAGCCCTTGGCAAATCTCACCTTGGGGGCCACCTGTCACCATCATGGATGCATCCCTTGTGCACACCTGTCTCGTGGGGTCCTATCCCAGATGACTGTCACTCACTCATCGAAAATCGGCTGAGCTCCTGCTGTTACCCAGGCACCGAGCCAAGGGCTGGAGACACAGGGTTGACTCAAGCCTGACCTCAGTCTAGAAGAACTCACTTTCTGTCAGAAGTAACAGAAGCATAAACATCGAGATCCCTACAAAAAGTTGCGAAGTGCTGTAACTTAGAAAGAAACCGCTATTTCCTTCCTAGGACTTCATTCATTCATTCATAATAAAATGACTTGAATGTTTGTATCAAAGCACAGAAGATGGAGGATGGATGGATGGACGGATGGATGGATGCATGGATGGATGGATGACATAGTGGTCAAGGTGGAGGGGCTCTATTTAGAGTAGCATTTTGAAATACAATCCCAGATTACAACACCCTTATACTGAGTCTAAAATGACTCATTCTTCCTCTACACCGGTTAGTCAGTACTTGGAGTGGAATGAACGTATCATAGTATGGGAAGCAGGCAGGAGCAGAAGGAAGCGTCTGTCTGGAACAGCTCCTTGGGAGTATCCCCTCTCTGGCTGAGGATGTCTTGGTCAGTTTTCAAAAACATTAGGTTTTCAACATACAGCTTTGTGTGTATGTGTGTGTGTGTGTGTGGGGGAGTCAGCCACCCCACAGCAGGCCGTTAAGAGTCAAGGATAACCCAGTACTTGGTAGCATGAATGGTGGGTGCCTAATGCACCGTGGCTTACTGTATTGTAGATCCTGGAAGAATTTACATTGTCAGCCAACAACACAGTTCGTTGCTCATTTCAAAATGTAAGGAGAGGGACCCCCAGCCCTCTGTGCTCCATGTTGTATTTCCACCTGAGAGGACTCTCTGGGGATGGGCAGTCCTGGTCCAAGTCTTCCATCCGAGTGGTGTGAGCCCAGACAGCCGCTTCCAGAGCCCACAGGCCTCATGTCCTCTGTCGTCAACCCCTGCCGTCTGCCTCTCTGCCATCACCATGTTCGCTCTCCTGTGCCTTCTGGGATAGCATGGGAGTCCCCCATTTTCCAGGGACACGAAGTAAGGTTCTTCCGAGACGCAGGGGGGAGTTAGAGATTGTAGAACCCCAGAGACTTTTCCCACTTCCCGGTGTCTGGTCTCTGCCAGTGCCTCGAAGCCTCAGAAATGACAACTAATGTGCTCACACGTGACGCGAAGGGCCTGATGCGAGGCTTGTGAAAGTGTCTGTCACTCGCCTACGTGTTACCCACTTGTTGGGTATCATGTATTACAATCACATAAAATCCCCAGAACACAGCACTCCAATGCTATAAAATTGAGCCATCTTTTCTTAACTCGTAAGCGTGAGCCGTGTGCCAAGAACACAGTGCCCACACATGCCCAACGGTTGCACGGCTCTTGTCAGACAAGTTCATATTTAAGGTCCTCGCCCGGAGGCACTTCCGGCTTTGAGAAGACATGTCTGCCCCAGCACTTCATAGAATGTAGACTTGGACCCCAATAAGAAAGACCCAGATTTAAACTTCCTTTGTCCCAATGCAGGCCTACCGAGTGGACGAGAGGGCCGCTGAGCAAGCTCGCTGGGAGGAGGCCTCTAAGGAAACCATCAAGAAAACCACTAAGCCTTGTCCTCGATGCAGTGTGCCAGTAGAGAAAAATGGTGAGTGCCAGCAGGGAGAAAGAACCAGTCCCCTCCTGCAAGGTGGTGGTGGCCTCAGGGCGGGGTGGGCAGGGTGGGCGGGGTGGGCGGGCTTCTGGGAGGGCACAGAGCCTGAGGCTGGCGGGTAGGATGTGAGTGTCACTTCTTCAACATGAAAATTCCCTCAGCCTCATAAACCCTAATTCCACTACAGCCACCCACCCTCGTTTCTTTCCGGAAATGTGGGATGCTCTCGCACACCGATCGATACTATGCCCTAAGTGGTCTCTATGAGATGGGATGAAATCCCATCCTGGGACGGGCGGGGGGGGGTGTGGGGGGGGCGGAGGCAGTAAATGAAACTCCCTGGTGAGATGGTGGCCAGCAGCGGGTGACCCCGAGCCGAGCACAGCAGGACGCGTTCCAATGCCAGTGAAGAGAGAAGACACCCAAGACACGCCAGCGCCCCTTCTTAGGGACGTTAGACGTTTGTCATCGGATGGGCCGTCCATTCTTCTAACAACAACAAAGTCGAGTATCCCCCCCCACCCACGAAGTGTTCCCCTCAGCCCCAGAGCCCAGACTGAGGGACAAGCAGCCCTGCTACGTGGGTTCCATTTGCCGGGCGCTACGTCTCCCCTCGTGGATGATGATAACAAAAGCAATTAATTTGTGTGGCGCGCTCACTACATGCTTGCCCCGAGTCCTCTGTCAGGACAGAGCATTTGCTCCTCACAGGGTTAGGACTGGCATTCCCAGTGGACATCAATGTGTCCATTGATTTGTGCCTTACGCCAAGCTATACCCCACCCACTTCCTACATGTATGATCGTCTTGGCCACATAAATGCTGACTGGTTGCCCTAATACAGCCGAGGAGCCCACACATCAGAGTCATCAAAGTTCCTGTCTGGCCAGAACAAAAATTACCCTGGGCAGCTGTGACTGAGAAGTCACACTAACTAACGTGCCCTGTGCAGACGCCACCTCACTCAGCCTTCATCCTGGCTTTGTGCAAGGCAAGCAGACGGCCCCTGAGCCCCGGAGGGTGGGGTGGATGCTGATGATGGCTTAACAGGCTGTCACCAGCGCTAGAGACACAGGTGGCAGAGGTTGAGTGGGGGCTGGGTCCCAAGCAGACCAGAGCCCAGCTTCTACTCCAGTCCTGAAACCTCAGCGCAAATCCGCGCACGGGGAGCCCGCTGGAGCCAACCAGGAGGGGCGAGCCAAGACTCCAGGGGCACCAGCATGCTGTGCTCTGTGGAATGGACTGACAAGGCCACCTCTGTGGCACTCGTCCTGCAGAATTATTGACTTGACTTAGTGAATGTGGAGTGACGGAGTGCTGCAGACTGAGAGCCAAGTGGCCTTGGGCTGTCTTCACTTGCCACTGGCTTCCGTGCCTGACCTAACGGCGCCCTGTCCTCCATGGGGAATGGGCTCCCAAAGTCCATTCATATACTAGCGATGAGTACTGATCCACTACCAGAGGCCCCACAGACTTCTCAGCCCTCCTAACTGACACCCACATTCAGGGGGTCTGGGTCAGTCCTATGCTGGTCCCCCAGCTATCAGACTGGGGTCCTTGAGCTCCCCCTTGTTCAGGTCAGCTGTGGGTTTCTCCAGCCTGGTCTTGACCCCTTTGCTCATCACTCCTCCCTGTCTGCAACTGGATTCCAGGAGTTCAGCTCAGTGTTTAGCTGTGGGTGTCTGCTCCTGCTTCCATCAACTCCTAGATGAAGGGGAAGGGCATTTAAGGTAGCTTCTCCACTATTGCTTAGATTGTTAGTTGGGGTCATCCTTGTAGATCTCTGGACATTTCCCTAGTGCCAGATTTCTCTTAAAACCTATCATGGATTCCTCTATTAGGTATCTCCTTTCTTGCTCTCCTCTATTCTCCCCCCCCCCAACTAAATCTTCCTGCTCCATCACGACCACCTCTTCCCTCCTCTTCTCCCCTTCTCTTTCTCCTAACTCCCTCTCCCCCCCCCCCCCATGCTCCCAGTTTGCATGGGAGATCCTGTCCCTTTCCCCTTCCCCAGGGGACCGTGTATGTCTCTCTTAGGGTCCTACTTGTTTCCTAGCTTCTCTGGCGGTGTGGATTGTAGGCTGGTGATCCTTTGCTCTATGTCTAAAAACCATATATGAGTGAATACATACCATGTTCGTCATTTTTGTGGTTTCTTCTTAGTTCCATCCATTTGCCTGCAAATATCAAGATTCCATTGTTTTGTTTTGTTTTGTTTTGTTTTGTTTCCTGCTGAGTAGTATGCCATTGTGTAAATGTACCACATTTTCTCCATCCGTTCTTCAGTTAAGGGGCATCTAGGTTGCTTCCAGGTTTTGGCTAATACAAATAATGCTGCTGTGAACATAGTTTTACAGATGTCCTTGTTGTATAAATATGCATCATTTGGGTATATGCCTAAGAGTGGAATTGCCGGGTTCTGTGGTAGACTGATTCCCATTTTCCTGAGTAACCACCATACTGATTTCTAAAGTGGCTGTACAAGCTTGCACTCCCACCAGCAGTGGAGGAGTGTTCCCCTTTCTCCACATCCTCTCCAGCATAAACTGTCTTTGGTGTTTCTGATTTTAGCCATTCTGACAGGAGTAAGATGGTATCTGAGTTGTTTTGATTTGCTGTTCCCTGGTTGCTAAGGATCCTGAGCACTTTGTTAAGTGTCTTCCAGCCATTTTTGGATTCCTCTATTGAGAATTCTCTATTCAGTTCTGTACCTTACTTTTTAATTGGATCATTTGATGTTTTGCTGACTAGTTTACTGAGTTCTTTGTATATTTTGGAGATCAGCCCTCTGTCAGATGTGGGGTTGGTGAAGATCTTTTCCCATTCTGTGGGCTCCCGTTTTGTCTTGTTCACTGTGACAGTGTGTGGATGTGGGACTAGGGCGCTGGCAGACTGCGGATGGGCTGGCCAGCTGGGATGGGCTACCCTGTGCACAGTCCCCAGGCCTCAGGAGCGTGGAGCAGGGCCCAGGAAGGTGGGCGCCCTCCTTGGGCAGAGGTGGGACCATGACACTGACAGACTCTGGGCATGGTCTGTCCCTATCCCGTCCCGTCCCGTCCCCCCCCCAGCACTGTGCATACCCAGTCCCCAGGCCTCAGGAGCCCGGGAAGGCGGGCCAGAAAGCCTTCCCTCCCCGCAGCTTCTTTGCATCCTGGGATGGCCCCAGGAGTGCAGTGGTTACCATGAACCTGCAAAGAGCTCAAGAGTCAGTGGCGTTAAGAGACTAATGATGAGGGAAAGAAAAAAAAAAACAATGCAAATGGCCTTGTCAGGAGAGTATTAAGTGGATACTAATGGGCAGGGGCCCCCCACCCCCCCCAACCCCCCACCCCACCCCCGCTGGGCAGACCTGAAAATAGGACAAGACCAGTTCTCTAGCATCCCAGAGACATGCAGACTCCACCCAGGCGAGCAAGAAGCAGTGGGATGTGATCAACCCCCCCACACACACACCTGGGCTGCGCTGGGAGCCGCTTTGCATGCTAAGCACGGTGTGCTAGGTGTGTGGGGCCAACGTGGGAGCCAAGGGGCTCAAGCTTGATTCCCTAAGACAGGGAACCATTTGAAGGGAACTACCCATCAGCTCTGCTGAGACGCAGACCGCAGACCACACCACAGGCGTGGAGGTGGCGCTGAGGAGCCAAGTGACTCACCGGTTTCCAGCGGGGCGGGGGTCATTTCTTAGAAATGCTGTCATGGGCTACAGATAGGAAGCACCCAGGCCTGTTGAGTGTTAGCCTCTGACCTGAGACACTGCAGAGAACCTAAATTGTCCTCATACTCACACTGTAGCAGGCCCCAGGGCCAGCTGCACGGTCCAGTTCCCAGCTCAGCGCAAGGCTGCTTCCCCATTCAGGAATGCAGTTCTTCCTACGGGGAAATGGAGCCATTTCTGCTTCCTATTGAATTGTATGTGTGTGTGAGTGTGTGTGTGTGTGTGTGTGTGTGTGTGTGTGTGCAGGCACATGTACGTGCAGGAGTACACATGTCCATGTACATGTGAGTAGAGGCCAGAGGCCAACCTTAGGTATTACTTGGGTGCTTTCTTTTTATTGTGATTATTATTTATATGTGAGATTCAAAGTCTCAGGCCACCATGATAGCCCAACAGGTAAAGGCCCTAACCACCAAGCCTGACGACCTGCGTTTGGCCCTATGTGGTTGAAGGAGAGAACTGCCTTCCTCAAGTTAGCCTCTGACCCCCCCAAACACACATACCCACTAAAAATAAATAAGTAATATATATTTCCATTTTTTATTTATTTTATATAACCAAGTGCATTTAAATGAAAACAAATAATTATAGACAATATTTGGATATATTTCCATTTTCAAGACAGGGTTTCTCTGCGCAACCCTGGCTGTCCTGGAATTCACTCTGTAGACCAGGCTGGCCTCGAACTCAGAGATCCACCTGTCTCTGCCTTCCGAGTGCCACCTAGCTAAGTTTTTATTTTTTCTTTTCTTTCTTTCTTGTTTTTTTTTTTTTTTTTTTTTTGTTTTGTTTTTTTGTTTTCAAGATTAATGTATATATTTTTAAGGACAGTATTAGTCACTGGCCTCGGAACTCACTGACTTGCCTGGCCTAGGCTAAGCTGGCTGGCCCCAAGGGTCCACCTGTCACTGGCTGGGATTACAAACCCAGGCCACCATACCTGACCCCTGAACTGTGCGGCTCTGGAGATAAAAGCCGGGTTAACCCCTTCACCACTGGAGCCAGTTCCCCAGCTCCCCAGTTGCCCTTCCCAACACTCCCCCCCCCAACACTTTCTAGTTAGCATACAAAGGGATGCTTCATCCCCACAGCCTTTGTAAGAATTCTTTTATGTGTGCGGGTGTCCTGCCTGCAGGTGTGTATGCCTGTGTACCATGTGCATACCTGGTGTCCATGGAGGGTACTGGATCCTCTAGAACTAGAGTTACAGGCGGCTGTGAACAGCCACGTGTGTGTGGTGGCTGGAACTCCCAACCACTGAGCCACTGACGTATGTAGTTGGTTCATATTCGCTCCTATACATCTCACACACACACACACACATACACTCACACATACACTCACACATACACACTCACTCACTCACATACACTCACACACACTCACACACATACACACACTCACACATACACACACTCACACACACTCACACACTCTCACACACTCTCACACACACACACTCACACACGACGTCAGTAGGCAACAGGAGCTTCCGGCTTGCTGTCTGGGCGTCCTCCATGGTACATCATTGACCAGATGGTGCGTGCTGTCCACGTGGCTGCGTTTCTAGAATCGCAGGCCCAAGAGCACCTCCGCATTCCCGGGCCTAGCAGGAGCAGGGCTGTGTTAACTGCCAGGGAGGGAAGAGGCCCCTGACATAGCCCTCCCTTCCCGCCTCCCTCCTTCCTCACCCACAGCGGCACTGCTTTCTACAGTTACAGCGTTGGAGTTTCAGATGGGTAAGGGTTGAGAGAAAGCCAAGCATTCTTACGTGTCTCCTAACTTAAAGTTCACCAGGTGTTAGCCTAACGCTCCGTATCCCATGTGATATTTTAGAGAGACCTAAATGATGTTACTGTGGTAATAACTTGCTTGCACAAATAAAGGATGGAGCTCGCCACTAGCTAACCATAGAGGTCTGGAGGTCTGTACAGACAGACAGGAAGTAAGGTAGCTGGGCCGAAACAGGATATAAGCAGGGACAAACAGGAGCTCGCTCTCTTGTCTGTTTAGACGCTACGGAGGTGAGGTGTGCGTGGCTCGCTCCTTCTCTCTCATCTCTCCCCGTTTCCCTCTGTATCGGGCTCCAGGTTTTTATTACTTAGACTAATTAAGAATGCCATTTACATGTTACGGGATCACACTATTCTATTGTATTATGTGCATACTAAGACACGGCTATTAGCATGTACCAAAAACAGCCCCGTCTTAGATGACAAGTAGTTTTTAATTTTTTCTAAGTTTTCTGCTTTATTTTTCATATGTCTGTGATCTATTACGATGCTTCAAGCGAATCATAACCAAATAGAAAGTTTGAAATGTGTTATCCCAAGACAAATGCCTACAGGCACAGAGCAGTGTTTTAGAGCAGTGTTAGCTGTCTTCAGCACTTTCTGTTAATAAAAGTTAGTCAGTATGAGGCAACCCTTGGATGCTTTGATAAGATAACAAGACAACCGGATGAGAGTGGGTACCCGACCCCACCTCGAGTCGAGTTACAAAGAGATTGCTTTGCCGGGATCTCAAACAGTTTTCTTCATGCATCTCATGGCCCGGAAGCCAACAACAGGGGAAGAGGAAGTCAGTGATCCCCAGGTAGGCCCCTTGATAGGGGCTCACCATTCTCTGCGGACAGGACAGCTCCTGTTCCAGGAACCCCGGGTATCTCAGAGCTTGAGAAAGTTCTCCAGCAGAGCCATGCTCCTGCCTCAGATAGAGTAGTGTAGGATGTGGAGGACACTTGACGTGAGTTTCCTGTCTCCTTTCTTTCTCTCTTTCTTTTCTTTTTCTCCTGTCTTGTTTTTACAAAACAGGCCCGGACCACACTATATAGCTGAGTATAACCATGAATTCCCCATCCTCCTGCTCCACCTCCTGAGTTCAGGGGACCGCATGTGTGCACCGCCACGCCTGGTGTGTGCGGAGCTAAAGGCTCAAACCCAGGGCTCCACGCGCACTAGGCAAGCCCAGCACTGTACCAGCTGAGTCACAGTCCCAGCGTGGAGGCTCACTTTCTTTCCTTCTCACCTTAATAAAAATGGAAATACCGTTAGGGAACACATTCTCTATTAAAAGTAACATGCTATCGCAACTCCTGCTTGTGCATTTTGCTGAACCAGGTAACACCAAATAAATACAAAAAATATGAACCCCAGCATATCGTACATTAAATTATCAGATATGCAATAGGTATTTAAAAATCATGAGTTTAATACGGCTTTATGTTTTTTAAATGAAGAAGCAGATGTTTGTGAAACTGTGCAAATGGGATTTGTTCTGAAGGCAAAGAGGTCTTCATCTTAATCATTTCTCACTGTGCTGTGGGGGGCGCCTCCTGTGGTGTGTGACTGTCCTCCCCGGTTCAGAGTCTCCCTGCCCTTGCTGCTCAGGATTGTTCGCTACAAGAGTAATTTCTGGGGTGGCATGGGGGGGGGCAAGGGCTCCCCGGCATTTGCCACAAACCCACAGCTCTTGTGTCCTTTGTGCCCACAGGAGGATGTATGCACATGAAGTGCCCGCAGCCTCAGTGCAGACTGGAATGGTGCTGGAACTGCGGCTGTGAGTGGAACCGAGCCTGCATGGGTGATCACTGGTTCGACGTGTAGACGGAAGGCACTCAGGCACTGCCCCTGGCCACACCTCCTCACGGGAAACACGTGGACTCTTACCTTCTTAGTCCTTTCTTCTTCCCTGGGCATGTGAGCACATACAATGCACACGCACAAACACAGGCTGCAAATTACAGACGAGGTCCTTCCCACGGGCACCACGGTCCTTCCGCTGGGCACCCAGCAAAAGGCACTTTTCAGGCCTCTGTATATGCAGATATCCGCGTTGGGATATTTGCAGCCCCTTGTTTTGGATTCTCGTCCCAGCTCGAATCCAGCCACGTCATCACGTGGACAGGGCTTTCCCAAGTTTAACTTCCTGCCTTCACCTTCACTAAATCCATTCAGACGCTGCCGTGGGCGAAGCCACAGCTTTCCAGGGCTGTTGCTGCGCTCTGTTAAGTTAGACAGCGTAGAATCTCAAGGGCACACTCGGGATTTGAGGAACAGTGTTCTGCCTCAGCGATCACCTGTTCCCAGGGGGCCCTCCCCGGCAATAGTCAAAAAATATTTGTTTATCCCCAAGAATCCTGTCTTTATAAATGGTGCTGATGAGATGACAGCTTGGTGGCATACAAATCAGCTTATCTACCAAGTGAGAAACTGGGAAACATAATTTGAATGCGGACTGTTTAAATTACAAGGGAGGACATCGAAGCGGAAAGTACTTCCATTCGCTTAATTACCTGCAACTTTAAAAAGAAATTACTCTTTTTTTTTCCTGAAAGTATTACAGAATCTGCAATTTGAAATATTCATATTGCAGCCTGGAAGTTTAGCCCATGCATTTGTCTTCACTGTAAACTTAACAGGGAAAGTGCCTATAAAGGGAAAGTTTTTTTAGAAACAATCCCATGATGCTATTCCGACGCTAACAGCAGGGTAGGTCGGGTTTACATTTATGGAATATTTATAGAAGGCGTTTCTAGATCATCTACATGAAAACATGCCTGACCCTCCATCAGAAGGGGAGGGACCTCCCTAAGTCCCAGGGAGCCCCCATGCACCCAGGGGTCCTACAGACAGGGCCTTTCTCACAGGACAATAAACATACTAGAATAGTCTTCACATTAATACACAACACATTTGAATGTTAAGTTTTTCAAGATTTTATTTCCTGTTGTGTTTTGGTTGGTTTGTGAGGCACTCACACAACACATAAAACCGTTCCCACTGGGTACTGTGAGCCGCATTTTCTACTGTACCCTGCGTTTTTCCCTCTCCTTTGATTTTTCTGACTTCTCAGGAGACTGAGCTGGCAGCCGAGGGTCTGGCTGGCACCCGAGGTCCTTAAGAAACCTGGACCTTCTGAAATCAGTAGGCAGATGTAACCAACAGAAACCGTGGGGGGGGGGGAGAAGGAGGCAGTGACCTCAAGATATCCCAGGTCACGTCCCAAGAGCGTGTGCACCCCCATAGCATCAACTGTTAGAAAACCCATCCTCTCCTGCATGCCCCGGGGCTTCCCAGCCAGAAGAGCAGGGAAAACACCCGGTGGTGTTGGTGTCTTGTCCTGTGAGGAAAAGCAGCAGGCCTAACCAAGCCCATGTCATAGGTTTTCGTTCGCGTCACCCAGCACTATTTTGTCTGCAGCATTGACCCTCCTACCGCCCCCTTCCACACCTGTGTGTTGTGCTGGGTTCACACGTCTGCCCTGTGCCAGACTCCCGGGAGCTCGGTGGTGGCTGTCCAAGCATGCTCCTCCTTTCTCTCTTTCTGGTGATGGCCTGTGCTCCCTTCAGAGTAGAGCAGCGACTCTTGAGTTAGCTTAAAGGGAAAACACCCACAGGGTGTGAACATGAGCCGTAGCCTGTGTGTTGTGTGAGTGTGAGCAGTGTGATAAAACGCGCATGTCAAAGACTGGCAGCCAAACCTTTGCAGAGCATGCTGTGAACATAAGTGTACCCATGGCGGTACCCAGATGCCCGTGGTGGTACCCAGACTGTCAATAAAAGAATCAAAAGAGCATTGGAACTTGTCCCTGGGGACGTATTTCTTTGTGGCCTCTCATACTGCTTGGAAGCATCACGTACTGGGAAAAGGTGGCCCCTTTTCTCTCCACGATTAACCCTGAGGGTTTTGCTCTCTTAATCCTCGAAATTTCAGAACGAGACCTCATTCTGAAACATGATGGTCACTTTCTTGCCTTTCTCACAGACTCGCCCAAGTTAAGTGTTTACAAGAGAAACCAGGGCTGCAGAGCCTGGAGAGATGGCTCAGAGGTCAAGAGCGCTTACTGCTTTTGCAGAGTTCAGCTCCCAGCACCCACGCGGTGGCTTGCAACTGTCTCTACTCCCATCGAATCCGACACCCTCTCCTGATCTCCACTGCCTCCTTCAGGCATGTGCTGCACACACATGCATTCAGGCAGGTGCACGCACACATGGGCACACGCACGGGTGCTTGCACACGCACAAATAAATACACCAACAAATAAGTAAATGTCTTGAAGAGAGACGAAGAAGCATGGGTCCGGGAAGGTGGACCGGTGAGTAAAGTAGCAACTATCAGAGCATGAGGACCGGAGTTCAATCCTCCAAAAACTCACGTAGAAAAGGCAGGTACAGCAACACACACCTGTAATGCTCAAACTGAGAGGCAGAGACAGGGGGATCCCTGGGTCTCAATGGCCAATCTCCCAGGATTAGGGAGCTACAGACCTTATCTCAATGTATATATTTAACAGAGCATTGAAGCCGGGCATTGGTGGTGCATGCCTTTAATCCCAGCACTCGGGAGGCAGCCACAAAGAAAAGAACAGGAAACTGAGCATTGACCTCTGGCCTCCCCATGCTCCCCAGAACGAAAATGCCGAGAAGGTGGTGGTGGTGGTGGTGGTGGTGGGTTTCATGTTACTGTCTGGGTGTCTAAGACGACAGACTTGGCAAAAACAACGTAAAGAAGGAAGTGTTTATTTTGACTCACAGTTTAAGGAATGTGATGGCCAGTGTTGACTGTGGGCTACATGGGGACTTAGAATCGCGTAGGCTCGGACCTTTAGAGGGGAAGGGTTGGCTTGGGTTACTTAAAGTGAGAAGACACACCTAACTCTGGATGGAATGTTCTGAGGCTGGAAAAAGTGAGGGGAAACATGAGCGTCATCTCTCTGACCCCTGACTGAAAACACAATGGGACCGGCTGCCTCTGCCTCAGCCCCCCCCCCCCATGCCCACGCCTTTTCCACTACGGTGGATGCATACCCAAACTGTGAGCCTGGACAAGTGTCCCCTTCTTTCCTTTAAGTCGCTTTTGTAGGATATTTCGTCATAACAGTAAGAAAGTAACCAACACTCAGCTAGGTCCCTCGAGTCTAAGCAGTTCAGGGTACACAGCAGGGGGTGTTGGTGTTCAACTGGCTTCCTCCTTTACGTCTAGTCTGAAACTCCAGTTCATGGGATGGCGTTCCCACATCCAGGGTGGGTCCTTTCCCTTAGGTACACATCTCTGGAAGCATCCTCACAGACATGCCCCAAGGTGTGCCTCCTGTGTGAGCCCATCACGTTGACAGTGAAGACGGTATCAGCGCTAAGAAGATGGTGGATGCTTCGTCTTCTTGGTAACATTACAGTGCCTGGCTTGTCTCAGTGTGTCTTTTGGCAGCAACCTGAAGAGACCATCTCTGGACAATCTCGTATCTCTTCCAGGCCAGCAGCATGCTGAGGATCCCATTGGGAGCCAGAAGCCTGAGAGATGCTGGGAGCAAACAAAAAGGTAAGACCCATTGCCCACCCAGGGAAAAAATGCAGAAGTGAGACCCATACACACACACACACACACACACACACACACACACACACACACACGGGTGAGCTCTGTAGACAAAAGCAACGTCTCCCCCTTTAGACTGCTGTCATCGTTCACTGAACCAATCCCCATCAAGCCATCCACAGCTGACCACTAGTATTAATACAAGAACAATTCAATAGAGGCCACAGAATAAGCCAAACCACAGAGTGGACAACTACCAGGTGTGTGCACACGTTACCGTCATAGATTCATGACTTCATGCGAGTGGCAGGCGGGGCATGTGTTGGACTTGAATGTGTTGGACTGCCTTCTTCATACTTCTAGAAGTTTCTCTGTAAGAGTAAGTTGCTAGTTGTTCTTCCTAGCTGTGTGTGTTGTGTGTGTGTGCGTGCGTGCGTGTGTGTGCGTGTGTGTGTGTGTGTGTGTGTGTGCAGGTGGTATCCAAGGTGTGGGCTGAGGAATTCAGATTAAGAATGGAACTAATTGAGTACAAGTAGTATACACATATGCAAAATATGGGGGAACCATCCGCCCTTTCCCAACCCCTGTACTCTGTGTCATTTCAGACAGCATGGGGATATGAATGGTTTGTGTTCTGAAGGTGCTCTTAACTCAGCATGTGTTAGTCAGGGTTCTCTAGAGGAGCAGAACATACAGCACACACACACGTGTAAAAGGGAATTTTTAGAATGGCTTACAAGCCGTGATCCAGCTAGTCCAACAAACGGAAGCATCCAGTAGTTGGTCAGTCTGGACGACAGCATGGCTCAGCTGGTCTTCGGCGCACACTGGAATGCCAGGGAAGGGATGGACTTGCTACCCAGGGCGAGAACAGGCAGGCAGAGAGAGCAAGCTTCATCCTTCCTTGTCCTTTATAGAGAGGCTGCCAGCAGGAGGTGAGGCCCAGATGGAAGGTGGATCTTCCCACCTCACAGACAGAGATTAGAAGAGGGTCTTCCCACTTGAAATAATTTAAAAAAAAAAAATCTCTCTCAGGTGTGCCCAGCCATTTGAGATTGTTAATTCCAGATGTTGTCAAGCTGACAAGACTACCAGGAACAGCCATCACACAGTGAACCTTCTTTGCGTGAACACTATGGACAAACTGTCCATCCACAGCATTGGGAAAGTGTTGCTGGGCTTGAATAACCATGCAGAGTTGACAGGGAGTGCTGTATGGATAGGAAGACTGCTAGGTAACAGGAACCCAGACGACCGACTCACATAAATCCAACTCATAAGAGAGTTAGCTGAGATGTCCATATCAGCAGCTTACCTCCTGGTCTCCATGCATGCTTTTCCCACCGCCCAGAAGCCATCTTTCCAAGAGCTCCAGGTCCCGCCTTGGCTGTCTGACCTTGAGTTCTCCCTCCGTAGGTCCCTCACACGAGTGTCGGCTAACACTCCGAGCCTGCATCGGCTTCCTATTCATGGCAGTGACTGACAAAGCTCTGTGTGTAA